ATTGTTAGTTGTTGGATTGTTGGTTTGTGGTGAATTGTTAGTTGTTGGATTGTTGGTTTGTGGATTGTTAGGGTCACTATTAGATTGTGGGTTGCTGTTAGGTTGTGGGTTGCTGTTAGGTTGTGGATTGCTGTCAGGTGGATTGCTGTTAGGTTGTGGATTGCTGTCAGGTGGATTGCTGTTAGGTTGTGGATTGCTGTCAGGTGGATTGCTGTTAGGTTGTGGATTTGCGGGAGGAATACCATTTCCTACATTATTGATTGTATTGTTAACATTGTTAACTGGATTAACATTGTTGACTGTATTATTAACATTGTTAACTGGATTAACATTGTTGACTGTATTATTAACACCATTGACTGGATTGTTGATTGTATTATTAACGCCTTTGACCGTATCGGGTATTATACTAGATGTGTTTACAGGTACATCTGTATTATTAACTAAATTGTTAACTGGATTAACATTGTTGACTGTATTATTAACACCGTTGACTGTATTATTAACGTCTTTGACCGTATTGGGTATTATATTAGATGTATTATTGACTATAGTGTTAACTGGATTATCTTTGTTGAGTGTATTGTTAACACCGTTGACTGTATTGTTGATTGCATTATTAACGTCTTTGACCGTATTTGGTATTATACTAGATGTATCATTAACTATAGTGTTAACTGGATTATCTTTGTTGAGTGTATTATTAACACCGTTGACTGTATTGTTGATTGCATTATTAACGTCTTTGACCTTATTGGGTATTATACTAGATGTATCATTAACTATAGTGTTAACTGGATTATCTTTGTTGAGTGTATTATTAACACTGTCGACTGTATTGTTGATTGCATTATGAACGTCTTTGACCGTATCAGGTATTGTATCATTAACTATAGTGTTAACTGGATTATCTTTGTTGAGTGTATTATTAACACTGTCGACTGTATTGTTGATTGCATTATGAACGTCTTCGACCGTATCGGGTATTATACTATTGTTAACTTTATCATTAACACCCTTGACTGTATTATCAACTTTTTCGACCGTTTCTGGTATTATATTAGATGTATTATTAACTATAGTGTTAACTGGATTATCTTTGTTAACTTTATCATTAACACCCTTGACTTTATTATCAACGTTTTCGACCGTTTCTGGTATTTTACTAGATGTATTGTTAACTATAGTGTTAACTGGATTATCTTTGTTGACTTTATCATTAACACCCTTGACTGTATTATCAACGTTTTCGAC